TGTCTCTCACGGATCCTCTCTCCTTTTTGTGTGCTACGATATCTTCGACTTCATACTCCTCCGACTTAACCGAATATTTCTCTTTTTTTTTGCCTCCTGCACAAACGACAGTCGTCAATGCAGTGTAGTTGAGGTGTATGTACACCGCTGAGGTGTACGTGCATAATACATACATACACTCCTGCTGCTGCTGCTGCTGCTGCTGCTGTTGCTGCTGCTGCTGCTGCTGCTGTTGCTGCTGCTGTTGCTGCTGCTGCTGCTGCTGCTGCAGCGCCAGGCAGCTCTGAATATATATGAAGGGAGAGAGACGCACCCTTCATGATGAGTGGAGGAACGAGAAGAGCTCGCAGTACAAAGAAAGTTAACTAAGACCGAGGGGGGCTGTGCGGCGGCCGCCCCTCTCTCTCTGTCGACAGAGTCGGCGGAATACTTTTAATTTGAATGGATGAAGTGAATGAGAAAACTCTGAAAAGATGAAAAGCTGAAAATGTCTACGAACGGAGTGTACGTACAGCTCAAGCGACGCGCCGCAGCAACGGCTGCGGGCTGCTGTATTGTTGCTGCGGATCTCTGAACTCCTTGAGGTGTTTTGAGAAATAAAATGATAAAAGTGGTGGAAAAACTTCACAAAAGAAGAAAAACTGCTCGTCAGTTCTTGCTTTCCTGTCTAGACACTCCAAGCTGCTGCTGATGATTGTGGGGGTCGGTGTGTCGCCTGCTGCTCTTCTTCGGCTGGAATCCGAGAGAAAGCATCACGAAAAACAACAAAAAGAAGAAATAAATTAAAGAATTCAACTTCTTCTCCCAAAAAAAACAAAAACTTCGGCTTACAAGGCTCAGTCTGCATGGATGGGGCTGCTGATAGGACTGCGTGCTGAACACCGAAACCCGCCGCAAATGAACTTCATCTGTATTCACTTTCATAAATCTAAATTCCACTTTTATTTAAATTTAAATGTTTTTTAATATAATAAATGTTTTTTTTTATTCCCTAGACTGCACACAAAACACAAACTCATGGGGGGGGGGCCGCAGCACTAGCAGCTGAGTGTACACTCCACCGACCCTTTCCGAGCTGCGACGGGCGTAGGCAGCTACCGAGAGAAAATAAAAATAAAACTAAATCTATAACAATTTAAATATTATAATTAAATATTTATTCAGTTGATAGACAGAAGATGAAAAACATACAATACCAATACACCCATCAGTACAAGCAACCACCACGCTAACAC